CAAACCTCAAAAGGAAGGGCCCACACTTCAAAACGATGCTATTAGTATAAAAAAGAAAGGCTGATGCATCTCAGAAAGCACTGATCAACACCGTCATGCATCCACAGCTGAGGGTTAAAGCCCAAAGCCCAGTAGTTAACTACTTGATCTTCACAGAATCAAGTGAGGACTTGGTATCATCTCACGTGCAATAGTCTTTGCATAACACCCCATTGTATCCATGCCACAAAAATGGTAAATGTAGTAGTTACCAATAAATAAGTTGGGGCTCAAAGGGACTAAAGTCTTAAACTGTTCTTTATCATAAGATATCCTCAGACAAACCTCCCCATTCTTCATTCTGGCTCTATAAAATTAAGGAGCAAAGAAAAACTGTTAAGTGCCTTACTTCACAAAGAAAATACACTCTATATTCCTTTGTTATATATGTGTATAAAAGAAATCCAACTGCGACACTCCCCCTTGCACGCTCCCCCCCAAAAAAGACTAGCTGAAAATAGGTACTCAAGTGGTGTGTGGGGGGAGACGTGTTCCAACTACAGCAAAGAATGTCAGTTTAGTAATCTCAGCATGTTGCACTTTAATTTTTTACGAATCAAGTTAAGTATCAGTGGCATGTTAATAAAATGTTTTAAATTAAGACAAATATTAAAAATTGAATAATGGACAGATTTTTTCTGGGCTTTACCCTCAAATCTAATTATGTATTCATACAAACGAATACCAAAAAGAATAAAGAGTTCGATCTAGAAATGTCAAAACGAAAACCCTTGTTTACCAAGTAATTAAGTAAAATAAAAGATATCTTTACTACATAATCACTGTCTGATATTTTAATGATTATTGAGTAGACAGTTATGTTAAGGTCTCATTACTATTAGATGCTAATAGAAAATCTACTTTAGCAACTACTGTCTGCCCTGTTTGCTGATAAAATGAAGGATTACCTACAGAAAACAAGGATTACCTAAACAAACTACATGACATTTACACTAATGGGTAAAAGGGAAACTTGAAAGAAATTGTTCTGAAGAAAACAAACATTCTTAAGGATAGAAATGTATACTGTACAAATGTTAAAAGGCCTAAAATCAAAATCATTGTGTGATTTGCATGTATCTTTAAGCCAACAGATATTTTCATTATAAATTCAAAGCCACCTTTCAAGCAAAAAACCTGACACTGAAAAGAAAAATCACAAGACAGCTGACCCTTGAACAACCCAGTATACAGGTGATGGTGTCGGAGCCAGCAACACCATGCACCCGAAAATCTAAGTATAACTCCCCCAAAACAACTTAAGTTGTCCCTCAGTATCCTCGGGGAATTCATTCCAAGATCCCTGTGGATACCCCAGATCTGAGGATGGTCAAGTCCTTATTTAAAATGATGTAGTTTACTGCACACAGTCAGCCTCTGCAGCCAGACTCCCCATCGGAGGGTCGAAAATAGTACTGGTATTTATCGAAATAAAAAATCTGCGTTTAAGTGCACCTGCACAGTTCAAACCCACGTTGTTCAGGGTAAGCTGTACATGAAAAACTAGGTAAACATTAATTAACTAGAACTTTTACAAATTTAAGGCTGCATTTAGATAAGTATCTTTACAATTATATTTACAATTTTACCAGCAAAATCATTTCATGACAGAGACCAAGTGAATACTTATCCCAAATTATAAGACCAGAAAAGCTACTACAGATCTTGGTGTTTTGAAAAATCCAACAAAAAATAATTTGAAATACATGATTTATATCTATATATACAATTAAAAAATTCCAACTATGGATAATTTGGAAAATGAAAATTTCTAGTCCAAAAAGTAAAAGATGGCTATCAGCCTTAGGAAATCTATTCTGTTCAATACAAAGAAACCTCCAGGAGAACGACAGTTTTTTGTTTTTTTTTAACTATACTACTGAGAAACACAGAAGTTGGTATCTAAAACAGAATGTTAAAATACACATATCAACACAATACACAAGTAGGGGGTTGGGGAGCAGTAAGAGCAGTGTTTCAGATTTCACACAGCTCTGGGAGTCTCGGAGACCTGGGTTTGGAATCCTGGTTTTGCAACTGCTACCTAGGGCCTCACTGAGCCTCTACTTCCTTTGTTACAAAGGCTCTCATGATGCTTTCTCGGGGCATCCTGAAGATCAGCAAGGATGCCTCCTATCTAGGTGCTCAATAAACATTAGCTATCATCATAGTTCTCTTTTGTTGTCATGGTGTCCACACACGAACTTTTTTTAGTAGTTTGTGGGATGCTTTTTCTCGTCTTATCCCACCATCTATTATATGAACAAAATACTCAAATATTCTTCCAGAGGTGTAATCATGATTCATGTATCAACTTATAAATAAATGCGTCTTAGGAAACAAGTACCTTGTCATCCCCGGAGTTCATGTGACAGTGTGTTGGTGAATAACCTGAATAACAGGTTAGCCTGTTAACCTAAAGCCTTACTGCCACATACAGGCTAGCTTGGCTTCATAAAGGCCTGAACCTGCAATGTATTATAACTCCCTCTAAATTCATAAGGGACCAGCCACTTCTGCCTTCCGAGAACTAAATGGTTAAATTAAGAAAAATGGTTCACTCAGACCACTGAATAGAAAATGTCTTAATGTATTATCATTTTGGTTTATGTACAAAACAATGTAAAGGTAGTCACTGATGAGATATAGGGCCAAAGCTCTCTTCTAAAAACAAGGAACTGTTATGAATGGTCAATTTTTTTAAACTAGTGTGAGATAAGATCAGAATCATAGATATCCTATGATTCTCTCTCCATTCCTACCTTCCCAGCTAAAGATATAAAAATACTACTCCAAAAAGGGAGACATTACTTACTATGATAATACTTCAATAGCAGGAGTATACACACACACACACAGTATCTCACAAATAAATATGAACCTGTAGTAACTTTTCTATCCCCTAGCACATTAAATACTCACAATACATGCTATGAAGTGAACTCAGCATGTTTGTCATACTACAAAGCCTACCAAATTCCCCAGTAGTTTTTTCTTTTCTTTTTAATCTTCACCTGATGGCATTTTTCTCATTGCTTTTAGAGAGGAAGGGAGAGAGAAGAATAGAAAGACAGATCCATGTGAGAGAACCCAGGAACCAAGCCCACAACACAGGTATGTGCCCTGACTGGGAATCGAACCAGCAATCTTTGGCTTTGTAGGACGACACCCAGCCAATTGAGCCACATTGGTCAGAGCTCCCAGTCAAGTTTTCAAAGCAATCTAGACACAAGGAGATATCAGTAGTACCCTAAATATAACTCTCCAGAAAAAAAAAAAAACATTAAAATTAAAAGTTGAGCTTCAATACTTTTAGAAATGTTTTAAGGCAAATGCAATTAATTAGGAAATGAACTTGGAGGAAATACCAGGATCTGATAGAACAGACTATAATTCCACCATAATGCAATATAAAAGTGATCCAGGGAAGGGACAAATATGGAAAATTCCCAATTCCTGATTCTGCTTTTGACTTGATTTTTAGAAAAGTCTAATTAGTGAACAGCAAAACAAGGAGCTGATAACTTTAAAACCAACGTTACAGAGAGGACTATGAGCCTGTAGTCAGCCTATCTGATGTGTAAAAAAAATTCTCCCCAATGACATGTTTGCAATCAATTAATAAACCACCGCAGTAAACTACACATGCGGAAAAGGGGCTAAGCTCAATTCCCTGCTGAACAGCGAATGGCATCAGGGCAGCCAACAAAATGCTTCACCTTTGCAGGTACTTAACCATTGTCTTGGTAACTCAAGATCACTACATGTACAATGCACTCTCTCATAATTTATGGATGTATGGCCCAGATGATGTCATCCCAACTTTGAGCAATCCCTACAAGTGACCCAGTCAGTGAATATCGCAGAGGGATTACAGGCAGCACCTCCCTGTCCCTACAGAGGCCAATGGTTAAGAAGTTATAACAGAGAAGAGATGTACTCTTCTTCCCAACAGAAGTGCTAAAAAATTGGATTTAAACAAAACAAATGAATAAACAAAACAAAACAAAACATCCATACACATAGAGAACAGTTGATGACTGCCAAAGGGGAGGGATTTAAGGCTTCCTTTAATAAAATAAAAAAGCACTTACCTTAATGAAAACATACTATATTTTTTATATTGACTAGTCCCCCTTCTTATGCTATAAACTTTAATTAAAACAATTATCGCTAAAGCATAATTCAACTTGGTACCCGAAGTAAGGTATCATTAAGTTTTTAGAAAAAGGTAGCCTTATCTATGAAGCTTTAAATTTTAGAAATCAAAGGTATGGAGGCATCAAATATACAATTAACCCAGAAGAACTGCAGAAGTTAGAAAGGGAAGGAGGTTTATTAACGACTCTAGTGATATCAAGGGAATATAAGAATGTAATCAGTCATTTGACAGAACACGGTTTGTTACCTAAGATCAAGGAAAAGTGAAAATACCTTTTAGTTAGTTTTTCTAACACAAAACTAGAGGGTTCTACAAAAAGTATAATTATAACACTATTATTTGCTTGGTTACATTTGCACTTAATGGACATGAGGTGAAAATAAAATTGGGAATGAAAATGCCATAATCTTGGTCAACTCCTGATTATCTACATTAAGGAGAAAAGGAGTTATCTTACGTAATTCAGAACAATGGATGGAGAGTTCTCAAATTACCGTTAACTTTTGTTGAATCTTTGCCCTTTTTAAAGTAGTCTGTCCTCTAGAGATTTAGACTGTAGTGTTTTGGGGTCCAAAATGGACCATCAATAAATAAGACAGACCATCTTCAAAGTCAATGATCCATCCGTAGATAATGGAGTTGACGTGACTGACACATATTCCAATCAATAAACTGAACACGGACACCCCATGCCAAGCATGCTTCAGAGTAATTTCTGCAACTGTAAGAATGACGGAAGATGACTGACACTTCCGAAGAAGAGCAAAACATGCTAGTGTCTGGAGGACGCCAAGCTTACCTCCTGCAGTAGATCAGCCTGCTCAATTGCTTTAAGGACATTTTTCTTGGATGTCTCCTGAACTTCCCCTCCCAAAAGAAACTCATCCAAAATAAAATAAGCCTTCTCAAAATTAAAGATGATATCAAGTTCACACACCTGAAAAACAAACACAAAAATAATAATAACAAAAAGCAAAAGGTACCTCTCAACTATCAGGTAGTGAATAAATCTGACCAAAGTGAATCTATCTAAATTCTTTCCAAAAAGGGCAATCTTGCCAAGCATCACTGATTTAGTCAGCTGAATTTTCAAATGTCAAGTACTTGAAAACACAATGCCCTCACACTAAGACCCAACCGCACAAGCTCCCAACACATACCTTTTCTACCCATAAAAACGGATCTTTGAAAATACCTCCTTCCTGGGTAGTGAGATTATAACTGCCAACAAAATCTAAAATCTAGAATATTACGCTTTACAGTTGGACTCCTTTCTATTCCACTATTTTGAACCTCGCTCTCGCCACCATAATTAAATGCGTAGGTCTGTGAGGTCAAGCAATTTTGGCAGTTAACCGATTGACTAGGCACGCTGACAAAAAATAGTCACTCTTTCCCCCTCCCACAGTTAATTTCAAATAGCCAGAATCCAAGACAATCACATAATAAACTTGTTATAGAAAAAATTTAAACAACAAAACTGTGGCACTCAATTCCCTAAAACAAAATATTACTCACACTGCCAAAATACTTGTCAAGTAATTCCACATAACGATGAATTATTTCCAGGGTAATGAGTTCATTGTCCTGATCCTCAATAGCACAGCAAAAATACAGACTAGCGTATCTGAAACAAAAAGCAAACGTGAAAAACATTTTACCCTATAATCATGGTTCCTTAAATATATTTTCATATCCTCTTGTGAAAGACACCATGTTTATACAATTGATTTCCTTTTTTTCAACAGTACAGATCATTTTTCTCCTAGGTTACAAAAGCAATAAACGTATAAGAGAAATTTAGAAAAACATAGGCAAGCAAAAAAGAAAAAAAATCATTCAATCATACATCTAGAAAGAGTAACTATTCTTCCTTTCTATAGATTCTAAAACATAAATGACTCAGGTTGTTCTGATGCTTCATTAAAATAAAATGCACTGTATGACTAATTCAAACTACAAGTAAACAAAGAAAATAAACTCTCTAACTGAAGGAGTTATCGAAAGTATTGTCAACATGAAGTCAATGTTCTAGAATGTTTTATTGAAGTGTAATATACACACAAAGAACAAGTCATAAATGTGTAGCTTCTTAAAAAAAAAGAGTTTATGTATCCGTTTTTTAGAGAGGGGAAGGGAGGGAGAAAGAAAGGAAACCTCACTGTATGGTTGCCTCTTGTGCGTCCCCCACCAGCGACCTGCCCTGCAACCCAGGCATGTGCCCCTACTGGGAATCCAACTGGCTACCTCTTGGCTAGCAGGCCGGCACTCAATCCACTGAGCCACACCAGCCAGAGCAGCTTAATGAGTTTTCAAAGTGAGCCTAACTGTGTACCAGCACCCAGATCAAGAAGCAGATAATTGAGCCCTTGAAACCCCTTTCCTAGCCTCTCCAGGTCACAAACTCCCACCCTCACAGGGAATCAGTATCTTTTCTAACAGCATAAAACTGTTATTTTTAAAAAGGAGGCTTCTAGGATTGTGGAATAGACCCCAAGAAAAAAAACAACAGCTCCAAGTTATCATAGAAGGTAGAGGAAGAGAACAGAGGAAACAGACGCCTGGCCTCAAAATTTCCAAGTTCTACCCTGTTGAACTTTAGGTTCTCACCCTTCAAGAAGGAATAAGGTTGGAAAACTCCTATCCTCCTCCAAATTAGGATTTTAGCACACAGTGATACTTAACCAAAGAAAGCCAACATTTATTAATATACAACTGTTCAAATCATAGCAAATGGTGACCAGGTCCTTTGAGGAGTATTAAAAAAGCATTTTTAAATGATTTAAGTTTATTTAAGGCTTTTGGAAAAAAAATAAAAATCTCAGGCAGTCTAAACAAATTTCAGTTGAGATTGTAATTTTCACTGAGCATCTAAGTGATTTTTAGAAAACACAATGGGCAATTACTGCTCACAGCATTAACGTAAAATATTTAAACGCACACGATCTCGATTCAATGACTTCCTGTTCTTCAGTTTAAGAATAACGACTATTTACGTAACAATCTACTAATTTCAACACTATCAAAAACATTTCATCTGATCTGAGCTTTCCAACAGCAAGCACCACATCGTCCTTGCTTCCAGAAGACGAAGAGAGGCCCAAGAGTACAGGGCCTGCCAACTGGGACCAGCAATCCGGTCTTCAGACCTTCCCACCTACCACACCAACATCCCTTGTCAGACACAGCGTGACTTTTCGTCGTGTCCGTGCTACCTGACTTCTGTGTTTAGGAAGTTATTTAAAATGCTGAGTCCCCTGCAGTCCTAGAGAGGAGGCAGTTAAATGCATTCATTTATCAGGAAGAACACGACAGGGGACCACCTCCAGCTTTAGCGGAGAGCTTCCTCTTTCTCCCAGCACTAACTTGTTTTTGTTTATCTGTTTCAAAGGCAATGGAATATTACAACTCGCCATGCTCCCAGAGCCATGCTCACCAGAGAGAATTTTGAATTTGGGGAAATTGATACAAATGACATGTTATGATGCCCTGAATTAAGACAACTGAAGACTAAAGGTACTGATATTAAAAGTGGTAGATTAAAAACCAGACACAGCGAACATGAATAGAGTGCTAAATGATTCCATTAGAAAGAATTCACTAATAGTTTCAGGTAAAATTCCTTTTAAGGTTTTTTTGGTGTTTTTGTTTTTTCACTTGAATCAGTTTATTTTCTAAGCTTTAAAATGTACAAATTCTTTGCACCCCCACCCATGCAAAAATAGTAAAAGTGCAATATTTAAATCAATACAGTGTAAGTATTTGGCCAAAAGGACTTTTAAAACTAAATGTAGGGAGAGTGGTCGGGGGTAAATGCAGACAACTGTACTTGGACAACAATAAAATAATTTTTTTAAAAAACTAAATTTCATCAGGTAATACCCTACAGCTACCAGTATGTTGACAGTAGATAGGAATTTAAAACAAATCCAATCGGATCGAATCCACAATTAACTGAAGTTTTCATTTTATTCAGCTGTGAATAAAATAGCAGCCATTGTTTTATACAATGTACTACACAGCATCACCTTCAGAAGAAATGATCTGCCTAGTTTGTGCAAAACAAGAGCAGTTACCTTCTGTTAAAAAGATGTGAGCCTTTCAAACTTAGTTCTTTTTCGTTTGTCATAATTTCCAAATAAAGTACACAGCTCCAGCTCCCTATATGACTATGTCTTCCACGAAGACATCATATAGCCACTTACAGACATAATCTTTGGAACATTCTATAGGTTAAAAGGTGTTTCAAGTCTCGAGAATACACATTTGTTATTTTTTTCCTCCTTTTGTCTTGTTTGCTTCATACATCCATTGCATCAATTGGACTCAATGATTTAAAGATGTTTTCAATGTTACTGGTAAGTAATCGAATACTTGCATCATCCTTGTTCCTTATCCACCATACTGTCTCTTTAACTTACAAATAAACATCACTTAAACATTAGTCTAAGGTCCTCAATTATGAGTCATTCGGAAATAAATTTTAAGTATCACCAGGACTGATGTGTCTAAACACCAACCGGTAATATAGATATATACATATCTTAAAGCACATTATCTAAATGTTTGCACCAGCTCAAAATGGAAAAAGAGCCTTCAAATTAAATAAATTCTTCCTTGTAAGTGAACATCTACTTATCAGGATTATAAGATGGTACCTCTTTCCAAAGAGCTTAGGGAAGAAATAGAAGCATAATAAGAACAGGTAACATTCATTGAGTCCTCATCTTTTGTCTTTTACCATTTTAATTCTCACAACAACCCTTCCAGAGAGATATCATTATCACTTGCATTTAAGAAACCCAGGCTTAATTGAACAACCTCCCCAGGAAGTGATTTGACTCCAGAGCCCAAGTTTTCAATTAAAAACTACAGCCAGGAACTGTATTAAATAAAGTAATCCTGCACCTGGCAAAAATTAAAACATATTAAAAGCAGTATTTTAACAGGTTTGAATTGGGAGAGATAAAAACTGTTATACTGATTTAGTGAAAGATTACCAAGAGAATGTGAAGTTTACTCCCTATTTTTAGAAATGATTTTTAAAAATTGAATAACGAGTTCATTTTGTTCTCTTAGTGCATATTTGTAAGTCTAAACCTGAAGTAAAATTAATAGTAGACTAGTAAGAAGAAAGGTATGTTTGGTTATTTTTAGCAGAGCGGATTAAGGCCTACTCTAATTACTGGCACTCAGAGAACATCTGAAAGTTCCTATTCTTATATTCAAAACACATGACTTCTCCACAGTCAGCTAAATATCAGCTGACAGTGGGTGAATGTAGCTAAACTGTTCTCAATGCCCGAGGAGTCTTTAAAAATTCTTTTGTTGGTAAAGAAAATCAGTACAGTACTCTTTGACAAATTCTCAAGTTAGTAATTTGGAGATGCATGGATTTTTTTTATTTTAAGACTTTAATCCATTGCCTCTTCCGTAACATGCGGCTCAAATTAGGAAAAGCCTGCAGTGTTCTGTCTTCAAAGCATCTCAAGAACGTTTATATTAGAGATGAGGAAACAAAGGCCAAATGACTTGTTCCCAATCATAAAGCTAGCTAGTAGTACAAATGAAATAGAACTCAAGTCCCCAGACCGCGTTATTTTTTTTCAGCTATACTAATTTTATCCTCACTCCCCACCACTCCCTCCGGCGAGGGAGATTGTTATGCAAAATGCTCAGGAGGGAGAAAAGTGGGAGAGGACGTGTGGAAGACTGGGCAGATCACTTGCTGATCTGGGGACAGCCAGAGTTCTAGTTCAGATTTCTCCGGAGCTAACTAAGCGGTAATTCTTTTACTTAAAAGATCTTCTCTTCCAGCTGGATAGGGATAGTCACCTGTTCACATCAACAAATAAATATATCCTTAGTACAACAGGTGAGATTTTCAATATGAAATGAGGGGATGCATGGGATGATTAAATTCTAACTTTTGTATGTGCATTTTTATGTCAACAAAGCTGGTTTTTTAAGTGCACCTTTTATTTATAGGGGCTTGATGCAAGTAGCAGCCAGGTTACATTAGCCTTTATAACCTTTAAAAGAAAAAACAATGGCCCAACAAGGGTGGGCCGAAAGCTGCATGTAGGAACACCAACTTGAGCTTTCTGTTCTTCCATTTAACAGGCCATTTCCTTCCGCTGCAGGAATCTCCATTCCTGGGATTCATTCCCTTGCTGGTATTTGCATCCTCCACACGGGGGACTCCTTCCCCTATCTAATAAGCTTAAGTTTCTCATACCTTTTTTTTTTTTTAAACCCTGTCCCCCACCCTAGGTCTACGGGTGGTTACCCCCTCTTCTGTCCTTCAGAGCAGAGCTCCCCAAACAATCTACACTTTCTGGTGGACTGTCTTCACCTCTTCACCATACTTCTTTGAGAGTTCTGACTACTATTCTACTGAAAATGTTCCCACACAGGGCATTTTATGAAATGCTCACGGTAAAAATCTCATCGATTCTTTCTTCACTTTAATTGGACTTTATGTAACACTTGGCACTGGTGACTCTCTCCTCTTCCCCATGTTACTCACCCCTGTATGCTTACCTTCTCCCCCTTTTCTTCCATCTTTCACCTGCGTGATCTAACACAGTATGCCTAATTTCCCCCCAGGCTTCCATGCCTATGCCTGCCGCAAGAAAACTAGGCATCTCATGGAAGTCACACAGGCATGTCTAATTCAACTTATCTACCACCTCACCATTCAGCCTGCCAGTGGAACCAGACATGTGGAATCCCTCCATTCCTCTCCTTCTGTCCTGCCCTCTCCACTTCTAGCAATGATGACCAAGTCTTATAAAATTTACCTGGGGAGCAGCTCTTCCCCACCCCTCCACCCCCCACCAGCTGAGAACACGGCAAGAGGTCTTCCTTCAGGAACTCATTATAATGAGATCTCCAAACAGATCCCTCAGGATGCAGTCTCAGCCCCTCCCCACCCATCCTCTCCAATTACAAAGATCTGTTAAGACAAATCTGTTCTTTTTCCATCCCTGCTTAAATCCTTTGTTTCTATGCTTAAAATCTGAGATGTGGCTCCTAAATCTGTTACTAACTAGCATATGACCTTGGACAAGTCACTTCCTCCCAAATTCTTGGTTGGTTTGTTCTTTTTTTAAAAACAAATTTGAAGTCTGATTAACAGTAGTGATTTTCAAACTCAGGAACCACCTCCTATGCAGAGGGTAGAGGCCAGGTGAGCAGGGGCACAGGAGTCCACTCTGTATTTCACAAGAGCAACCTCACTTCCACTTGTTTCATTCAAGGTTCTATTCCTTGGGGCAGAAAGCATTTTTTGAAAAATCACCTGAAAAGGAATATAATGTTATATACCAATTTTACCTCAATTTTTAAAAAGTCACTTAAATCACTTAACTCGATATTTTAAGACATCTCCCAGCTCTAAAATGCTATGACTTTTCTCATCAAGTACTAAACCAGACACTGGATACAAAATCAGACAAACATGACTAAATTCACTTTATTGGAAACAGGAGTCTACAGTCTTTTTAAAATTTCCAATATCCTATAAACCTCCATTACTTCCTCTGCTATTTCCCCCACAAAATACACCATCCATGACGCACACTTCGAGTGGAATACAGGAGAGCTGAGGTAAAACCTGGATTTCTCTGCAACCCTCTTGGCAGCACACATTGTTAGTTCGCTACACATCCCCCACAGAAGAGAATTTTTCACATGCAGAAACTGTGAAATCGTATGTTAAAAACTGAATGTTATTCCTAAAGGTACAGAAATGGGTAAAAAAAAAACCCAACAAAGTAAATATATTTCTTTTAAGATGAGTAGCATGATCTTGAGAAATTTATTTAAGGTAGTAAAAACTTCAGATACTAATTCAGATCTATGGCATTTTTACAAAAGCTTAGTGCTCATCTAAAATTTTTAAAATCGATTCTCGGCAAAATTATCAGATCTAATCACACCACCACCATAGCAACAAGTGTACGTCAAATTAATAAGCACTACAACAGATCCTGTATACACACAAAAATGGTCTATGTATTCAAGGTGTTTATAAGTGGGTGAGATTCTAAAAGTCAAATAAAAGGCATGCCATTTGTCAGTCATTTACAGATTTTTGGGGATGGGGTGGGGGGGACTGCTTGTCTAAATTCAGGGAATTACTCACACATTTTAAAATACTGATCCTAATTTCCCTTGCAAAGGAATGAATTCTTTGAATTTTTCTAGAAAGGTGAAGCCATTAATTATATAATTAGTTGTAAAACAACTTCCTGATTTTATCACAAAACTGGGTAATCAATCAAAGGAAGTTATTTAAAAAATACAAAGCTTTATCTTAAAACCTTTATCATCCATATCTTTGTTAATCATGACCTACAAATGTTCTCTCTCAAAAGTCTGCAATTTCTACATTAGAAATGACCAAACAGTTGCTTCTGTTATTTCACCTTTCTGAAAAAGAAAAATTATACCTCTTGTAAACAATCTTCAGATCTCGCCACTCAAGAAAGCTGCACATTTTAGGTTTCCGTGCTAAAACAGTTTGAACAAGTTCCCTTGTGATCTTTTTCTTCTCTTTGTCTGATAATGGGACATACCACTTCTGCAGTCGAAGCTTTCCCTGACGACTAAAAAGCAACATAAACTGCATCTGTTAAGATAAACAGAATCAAAATTACACGTAATACTTTGACACAATCAAGTTAGGATTAAGAGAGTATGTCTCACAGTGAAGCTTGAGGGGGGGGGCACGGCGTTTAAATGACCAATGATTAGTGGCCATCAATATTTCTATGCCAGCTAAAATAGCAGGGCATTCTTGTAGAATGAGCTTCCCACCGGATGCAAATCTCCCCACCCCACCCAGTTCCATGGACGTTTGGAGTCTGCAGAACAAAAAGAAAAACAGGCATTAAGTTGAAATGAAAATCTTCAGGTAAAAGAAAGACAACTCTTGCAATTTAAGAAACTGTTGTCCATCTGTGCTACACATTCCACACTCTCTATATGCATCAAAAAAGAATTGTTAACACCAACTGGTTTAGGTACATTTGAAAGAAACAGAAGACCTGCTATTTTTCACCCTGAGGCTGTTCTTGTCCCAGGAAGAACTACTTGTAGGCAGGCTGCTATCACTTAGAATGCTCTCTTCAGTTGATGCTAACATATTTTTTTCAACTACAGTTTGCATTCAATATTATTTTCATACTTACATATTTTAAGTAAAAGATCTGAAATATTAACCAAAAAATCCCATAAACGCATATTTTTCTCAACAAAAGCCTAATTTTTAAGTATCTCTTCTCATCTGACTTTAAAAAAATTCCAACACAAACATGCACACAATAAAGTGGTAATGTATTATGAGAATATTAACCTTTAAAAAGCCAAATTAAGAGCTACACACATTCAGAGGCATTACACAAAACACTTCATTTAAAATTTAAAAAAATAGCATTTACAGATGGAGTGGATGCTGAATTCTAGGGTATTTTTTACACTTACACTATTTTGTATACACTTATTTGGAATCTGCTAATCTGCTGATTAGTCTACATGTTTGGTTTTCAAGAAAAGCTTCTTGTAATTCCACTGGTCTTAAGTGCAAACCAATAAGCATTGTTTCTACGAAGGTAGTTTAAATGTGGAATTCACACAGGTATTTTTTTTTCTCTTAACTATAGTTCCTTTAATAATGTTACTGCAAATAAGATTCCAGCCTGATTCTTGATATTCACCACACCATCTCGAATTTGAACATGGGGTAGGAGAATTGACACAACCAGTTTAGAATAAAACGGGCCCCACGTTTCGCTAAAAAAAAATTACTGCCACTTTTTGTACTACTCCAAACAGACATCAGCAAGGTATTTAGAAATTTATAATGCGGCAATTTTAAAATGGGCTCATCACACCCGACTTAAAACACTTGTACTGGCACAAAATTAACGAATACTATTCGTGGTATCTAAGTGCCTCCCATACAAGTCCTGTTAAGATAGCGGCATTCGAAGAGGACAGCAAGTAAAGCATCGACTGGACAACCTTTAATATAAGCCCATGCTACAACTTGGAAAAGAACAGACCCGTATTCCAGGAGCTTGGTGACCAGGAGGGGTGGGGGCTTGCTTTTGAAAGGAGTAGGGGCTTCAAGGCTGTCTGTATGGGCACGGTCCTATATACACCCCCCCCCCCACCACTTTCTAGCACGAACAAATAATTCACTCTTTAAAATACCGTAAATGATGCGCTAACGTGGGACAAATAGCAAGGCACAAGTATTCTCTCCCTCTTGTTAAAAACAATGCTTTGATTTTACCGCCAATCGCAGGGCACCTCAATTCCTCCAGACTAGTGTGAAAAACAACGGGCTCCGCCGCGGAGCAGGCTCGGGGCCAGCGGTCCCCCGTCCGGCCGTCTCCGCTGCCCCGCGGGGCCGCACTCCATCACCGATGCAGCCCCGGCGAGGTGACAGGCAAGGATCGGGGCAGACAATGGCATCCGCCGCCGAGCAGGGGGCGCCAAGGGTCCTCCGCCGCCGCCGCCGCCGCCGCCCCGGACCGCGGGCCCCTCCCGAAAATGCCCCGCAAAACTTGAGGGGATTCCCGGACCACAGGTGCCGCGGGACCGCCGCCGCGGAGTCCGGGGCTGTGACCCCCCGCATCCCGGGACGCGGACGCTGGGAGAAGTGAGTTGCGGGGCGCCGCGCCCCGCTGGCGGGCCGGGCGGACCCGGGGTGGGGTAGGGTCGTCCGGACGCGCGCGCGGGGGCCGGGGGGCGCGCCCCGCGCTCCCACCCCGCGGCCGGTCCCCGGCGCCCCAGCTCTCCCCTCGGGACTTACGGCGGCCGCGGGCCGCTGGTGCGGCAGAGCTTGGCCGGCGGAGGCGGAGGTTGAGGGGAAGCCCCTGTCGCAGCGCGGAGCAGCCGAAGCCGTGTTGCTGGCGGGGAGGGGACCCGGTGAGTGGAGCGAAGGCTCAGGCGGCTAGGGGAGGGCGAGTCGACAGACCCCGCCCCGGGGGCCGGCCGGAGGAGGAGCCGGGGATGCGGCGAGCGCAGGGGCGGGCCGGGCGACGCGCGGGAAGGCGCTCTGCCGTCGCCCACAGCACCGGAGCCGGCGCAGCTGACCGCCCAGTCCGAGGAAGCCGATTGGCCGGGTCTCTACCAAGAGGGGTGGTCTGGACCGGAAGCCAGGCCACGTGACCCGGAAGCGGCCGTGGCCGAAACCGGCGAGACTGCGCACTCCCGCGTGTGCTTTTGGGGTGCGCGCGGGCGGCTGCCCCAGCTATTCGGTGGCGGGAAGGCAGGGTTCCGTGGTGTCCTTTGTTGACCCCAGTGTGTGGGGTAAGCAAGATCTGGACCGCGAAGAGCCTAGTTCGAGCTCAGATAACTCCCGCGTCCCCAGAGGGTGGAACAGGGAGGCGTGACAGCCGGTGATGGTAATGAACGGAGAAGGAGTGCTGCAACTGTGGGGAAAACAAGTCAGCTCGTGCATGCCTTCAGAGGGCCTTCTGCAGTTACTCTGGCACTAAAGCTGTACAGAAGCCGGCCCCTGCTTCCCATCGCACTGCTACGTTCCTCAGACACTTTTCACCCCAGTCTGTGCAAGCGTCAGCCCTGCGCTTTCCTCTCCCATCCTCAGTGCTGTGGACCTGATGACTGACTGACTGCCCGTTCTCTGCGGAAAAGACCAGACAGCACCTCGTCTTCGAGATCCCGCTGCCTATACACGGAGACGCCCCCTTCCCCTGCCCAGCTGGGTTCCAGTTTAGCCTGGCTGACGACTTGCTCTGCCTGGCATGTCCTTCCTCTCAAATGTCACTTCTCTTAGGAAGCCTCACCCTCAACCCCCGTAAGAACGAATCCCGCTTTCACGCACATGCCCATTAAGCCTCTGTTTAGCTCATCTTGAATTTTATTCATTTTCCATCCTGACCTAGTACACTACCTGGTATATATAACAACAAATAAATGTGAGTTGACTGATAAGCACTATAAAATGATAGTTTTGTTAACAGCCTTAGTGCTGAGCATCGTGCCTAGCACATAATGGATGTCCATATATTTTTTTTTTGAATGAAAGAATGGGTGAATCATCTAGTTCGACTCATCTTTTACAGATGAGGAAAGAGGAGCCCCACGGGATTAAGTGGCCTTGTTTGAGCAAACACGGGTTTCTCATGCTAACTGCTATTCATTACCTAGGTTCTTACAAAAGAAGCTGGAAAATTGCTTTTGTTGAGTTACGCCCTTTTTGCAGAGGTTCCCAAACAGTCGCCAGAATTTTGTAATGGCCCAAAGTGAAAAAGAAATGCTAAGTTTTTCATGAAGCTAAATTTAATCAACCTAAAGGAATCCTTTATTAGGGACTGTGTTCTTTTGTGTGTTTAAGATAGTGTATAATAGGGATTTTAATACTCTTATTTGGCAAAAAAAAAAACCCAAAACGTATAATACCTCCTCTTTTAAGCACTATTATGTTGCTTGGAAAATTTTCTGCTAACATGTATGATTAATGTATAGTGAAGTATTAAAGAGGGGGCCTATCCCAAGCACAGGGCTGGCTTTCTGTAGGTCTTTACGTCCCCTGCCCAAATTTCTCTGTTCAAATAATCATGCCCCAAAGGTACATGTTAATGTCCCATTTCTCCCTTACTACAGAGAACAGATGCCATGCCATGAAAACTTGCCCTCTGAATCCAAACTGATTTTTTCTTTTTCACTACAGAATATATATATATCCTGAAGATTCCTCGAATAACCATCTCCAACTTTAAACTCATTGGTTATGCTTCTAATGTTGGCCTGTTGTTCTGAAAATAGGGACGGGAGACTGGCTGATGACATATTAGCAGTCTCTGGTGTTCCTAGCCAAGAAGAGGTGGGGGTCGGAGGTAGGGAGGGAAAGGCATTATGGGAAAAATAATTAGCAGCTGAAAGCAGCTATTACATAATCTTGGCTGCTTATTAATTTAGCAGAAGGAATGGCTTATTAAATTCTAATAGCAACAGCACAAATGCAAACAACCTAGCAATTAACAGCACAGAGCCCGTTATTTTGTTAGTATGGTCTCTTCTTTTGGCAAGTGTATAAGAACAAAATTTATAGAAGCAGATGGTCTTTTTCAGTAGATTATAGATGGTTTATTCCTCAGTCTTAGTATTAAGTGCTAATTGCGCATTCACCGTGAAAGACAAAAGAAGCTCTGTTACTATCTTTGTTAGTAATTAATCACTTGACTTTGATTCCTACAATTTTTAAATTGTGGGCTTTGTTATATACATGTTTCTTCTCACCTAGCATGTTCTTCATCTGTCATGTTAGTAGGGTATCTTTTTCAATCTTCTGCTTTTTTTATGTGGGTAGTCCTGATTTCTTTGTTGTTAATGATGGTCCAAAAATTATTTTTTATGAAAAGTTAAAAATCAGGTTTTGTACTTGTTTCTCTTTTTGTGTGTGTGTGCAACAGACATTTATTACATAACCATCTTTCATGGAACAAGAACATGTAGTTTCTTGCTGCAAGGCCTCCTGATGTTTCTGGTTTCAATGGCCCTGGTAGGGAAAGGAAAATTCAACAAAGTCAGAAGACAGAACAGATTTATCCTCAAGTAGGAAAGATAACCTTATCCCATGTGTACAGAAGGGGAGGAATTGAAGTATATTTGGTAACTTGCCTTCCATTTAATTTTATTGAGATGTAATTGACATGTAACATTATGCTAGTTTCAAATGTACAATACAATGATGAGATATATATATACACGTATCTCAAAATGATCACCACAGTACGTTTAGCTACCATCACTTTTTTCTTAAATTGTAAAAAGTGCCTAGCTTTCATTTATGCTAAACACAAGAGGTGAGGGTGAAATAAGGAGTCTACCTTCTAACTATAAAATGTTGAAATTTTTTATGTAATCTTTTAAAAGTTTTCAAAAATAGTTTTAGTTTCCTGTTAAATGTGTAATGGCCATATGCTTTTATCTCCTTTCCCTCTCAAAACACCATCAAATGGGAAAAAGAGAGAGAAATGTTTAAAGTATATATCTATAAGGACAATAAGAAAGGGGATATTAGCATGAGGATCTCAATGAGTATGTCAGGGTACCCTGTCACTCATCATTAAACATTGACAATTTAGGTAAAAATTTTAATATGTATATATATGGAGAATATGGAGAAGCAGAAGTGAGATGTTGAAATATTATTGCTAAATCCTCACACACTAACAATAAGAAAACAGATAACATCTAACATAAATCAAGAAATACAATTTTTAGTGTACTCTTAGGTACCAGTACCAAGAAGTAAATTCCAGAAACAATAATGATTCTTTTTCCAGGGACTGAATCTTGAGGTAGGATGTAATAAAGGTCATTATTGCATTTGATTTTGCTGCAGGTTTTACTTAATCTTAAAAAAAAATGTAGCCCTGGCTGCGTAGCTCAGTGGATTGAGCACGGGGTGCAAACCAAAGTGTCGCAGGTTCGATTCCCAGTCCGGATACATGCCTGGGTTGCAGGCCATGACCCCCAGCAACCGCACATTGATGTTTCTCTCCCTCTCTCTCTCTCTCTCTCTCTCTATCTCCCTCTCTTCCCTCTCTAAAAATAAATAAAATCTTTTTTAAAAATTGTAATAAAGTAGATAAAAACCCTTCCGTTAGTGCTAACATTGTATTATGAATTCATACAGAGTTCCTTTAGCTAGTTCATGCTATATTATTTAAATATTATTAAAGAAAAATGCCTTCTAATGGAATTCAGTGCTGAATCAGTGTAGAAAATCACAGTAAGTGTAAAAAATGCTTAGAGTTTGTGACTTTGCATCTCCAAAGATAAAGTTGTTCCCAAGAGAAAAGTGGCCTAAAATGCCGAGGATTTGTTAACCAAAGCATTTCAAAGGGAGAGAGCTGTCACTGCCAAAGTCCTCAACAATGAGCTGGAGAGAAATATGGGACATAATGCTCTTTCTTGAAGCGTGTTTCTATAGCTTTGAATAAAATGCAGGCAAATGACTCTTCCATTTTAATACTGAGTGATAGCAGTGATTCTCAACTTGGGCAATTTTGCCTCCCTCCACCCCCAGGGGACACTTGGCAGTGTCTGGAGACTTTGTGGTTGTCACAATGGGGAAGAGGAGGGGCTTGGAGATGCGGCTGCAATGTACAGGATAGCTCCCGCTACAAAAAAGGTCTCTAGCCTAAAATGTCAAAACACGGAGGAAGTTAACATGCAGTAACTGAAGTCTTTTACAGACATTTCAAAACTGGAACACACGCTATCTTCATATAAGTTATTTTTCTCTCTTAAAGGAGTTGGAGGCATTATTCTTAGTATTTGACACATAAAATCAAACCTAGTCTTTTCTGCTGAAGAGACTAGCCACATATATAAGGCAGTCAGTATTCCTTAATAGTAACTCGAATAAACTATTCAAGTGGGATTTTATTCAGTGGCCCTAGAATATTAATAGAAGTTACCTTAGAACCTGAATTCATGAGATGACTATTTCATCCATTCATTCATTTAACATAAGTGTTTATTTTGTATATACTCTGTGCTGGGCACTCTAGAAGGTAATGGGGTTACAAAAACAAGTGAGACATTGACTCTGTCCTAAAGCTCCAAAACTTTCTTCTGACACAGAATCCCAAGGTTTTTGGAGACGAACCCTGGGCGGTCAGAGGCAATCCCCAATCAAACATATGAATACATTTTCTTTTGGGAAACCCCTAGAGATGCTTCACAGAACCTTAGATATCTTGTATTGACAGCTTTGAGAACTGCGTGCCCTAATGAGCTACTGGGGCTCTTAGCAATCTTTTCTTTTTTTAAGATTTTATGTATTTATTTTTAGAGAGGGAAGGGAGGGAGATAGAGAGAAAGAAACACCAATGTGCGGTTGCTAGGGGTCATGGCCTGCAACCCAGGCATGTACCCTGACTGGGAATCGAACCTGCGACGCTTTGGTTCTCAGCCCGCGCTCAATCCACTGAG